TAAATATATATATAGCTATTTAATACTATAAAAACCAAAATATTTATAATTATAGATTGAATTATTATTTATATAGTTTGTATAAGCACCCCTGACCTACTCTGGCCCGCTTTACAATAATTGTGATCTGCATTATGTGCAAGAGGTCTTATTTTTCAAAAGAAATTTGGTAATATATAACAATAATTGGACCAATAAACATGAGCATATGCCCATAAAATTGATCACCTTTATTCCATGCAGAATATTGAAAAATCCGTAAATTGCCCATCACTATACAGAATACTTTTTTAAAGCATTGATCAATATACAAAATATGGACATGAACACTATCATGTTCATATTTCCATGTTCAAACCAGATTTTTATTGGATATAGTCCAAATGTCAACACTATACAGTATTTAAACAGCAATTTTAATAATTATTTTATTTTATATTTTGTATTTTGTAAAATTTAATCAAAACTCAAACCATATACATTAAAACTTCTAAACAGACCTTTTCACATGGCCTTTTTTAAAAAAATTTTTACAAATAAAAATTTTATTAAAATATCTATCCGATTACTGTATATAGATATAATTTTTTGAAAGTTTTAAATATATATATATATAGTATTTAATGCAGTATATAATTAATAAAAAAAAAATTCAAATTGAAAAAAATTGACCCGGCCGGGATATAACCAGGAAATTTACTTTGCTTCGTCTTATTTAAAATTGTTTAGCAAAAAACTTGCTTGCTTTAAAAAATGTTAATATTTTTTAATAAAATTTAAACCATTGTATATTTAAAACAAGCAAATTAAAATTTTGAACTACAGTAATTTATATTTAACAAATCTGTTTAAAAAAAATATATATATGGAATAAGTCAATAGAATCAAGCAAATTTTTTATAATAAAATTTTTTTAAAACTTTGAATATAAATATCTTAACAAAAACTTGATAAAAAATTTTTAAATTAATTTTATAAACATAAAACTAATTTAAAAAAATTTTTTATCAAATTTGATTAAGTTTTTGTTAAATTATTTTGGTTTAAAGTTTTAAAAAAATTTTATTATAAACAATTTACTTGATTTCTATTGTATTGATGTACAGTATATTGTTATTAAATAAACAATTTTGTAATTAAAGTTTTTTAACAGCAATTTTTGTACTGTCTAAATATGTATATATATATATTTAAAAACAAGAAAGATTTGTTTGAAAATAAACTACAAATTAAAAACATATATTTTATTAAAACAATATATTTATACTAAGCAATTCAAACCAAATATTCGTTCATAAAAATATAAAATACTGTAATACAGTAATTGTTTATACAAAGAATCATCAAAATAATATACTGTACTGATGATTTAAATATCTAAAAACCATATTTACTGAACATTAGCACACATGAAAGATGAATCATAGAAAACGTGAAATCATGAATAAATCAAGTATACACCCAAAATCGAGGAAATACTCTTGAAATTTTAATCAAAGATGAATAAAGTTAAATGGTAAACGAAAATAAATTGATAGATTAATAATGATTATTAAAGTTTATAATTCTATATGGGACAGGGTAGACGATGAAGGTAATTCTAAAGTCTGTTTAAGGTCAGTGTGATCGATTTCTTTGCTATCATCAATATTCGATATTTTTTGATCATTTAACCCTTCAACATTTGACTTCACATCAATATCACCAAATTCGCCTTTAACTACAGCCCCTTCAAACAAATAAATGTTAGGCTCCACAAATCGATAAGGAACAGGTTTTGAAGTGGGTTTAAGCTTTTTATGAACTAACTCCCATTCTAAAAGTCTGCAGAGTTCAGGTATGATGACGTCGCAATCACCAAGAAGCTGGACGTCAAACTGCATATGTGTTATGGGGGTTTTGTTGATCACAATCTGAGGAACACGATGAGGAATTTGCCCTGTTTAAAAAAATTCAAAAGAACGTTTACAAAACATACACAAATTATATTAAATCGAATAATTAAAGATCATAATGAAATTAAGTATTATCCAAATTACAGAAG